CCGGCGTTGGTATTCTCGAATCTCGAGAATTTGCGGAAAGTTTGGGCATGGCATACAGCCAAAAGGCCAACCAAAGCAACGAATAATGCCTATAAAAAATACTTTAATTATCTACCCATTTTGTGGTAATCCATCTTTTACTCACGGTGGTCTTCATTGTATAACACTTGATTGTGGAGTGATGTGCTGTCCACTACGAAACCCTAGTATTTATACAGATGGTATTAGCATTTAAATGTGCTCAATTATTCAATAGCCCACTCCCAAAGTTGTTGAACTATACTCGAAGAAGATTCTACTCGCGAATCAGATTGCCAAATCAAAGCATCAAAAAAAAATATATGCATAAAAAAGGAATGTTATACTAAGAAATTCTAGATTTATAGCGCTCTTAAAAAGAGACTCATTAAATATTGATCAAGATATACAAACAAAACTTATTTATTTGTTTAATTTTATATAATTAACTTTCTAGTAAACAATATTTACTTTAATTTTTCATTAATAGAAATTAAATTAATTTATTTATGATATTCATAATATAAGATAACATATCTTTTTGTGTATAGTAGTTGCTTAAGTATTTAATCTTACATAATTTCTCATTTACATAAAATATCATGCTTTGTAGAATATTATAGAATAAATCAGTAACTATTTTTTTAAGGGATGAAACTTTTTGTGGTAGAAATCTTTTGGATCTCAGCATACGACCTCATGGATGACCTTCTTTACATAAAAAAACAACAAATTTGCTAGTGTTGAAGAGGGGAAGGTCAAAATGAGACATTTATGTGGAAGGTGAGCTAATTAATGTTGCGTAGGACGTTATATATGTGGAATAAATAATTATCCGAATGGGGTATGAAAATATTAAACATGCATATTAAATTTTTCAAGTATTTGGAATGTTCTAAATCCAGAAAATACAAAATTCAACTGATTTATAACTATAAATTTCAATAATTGGAATTTAATATTTTATACATTTTTTTTTGGACATAATTAGAAACCAAATGGCTAGCGACCAAAGTATTATGGACAATAAACTAATAGTTATTAATAACATGTATAATGTAGATTTGAATAACCACACATTATATAAAACACCAATTTTAATTTGTAACCGCTCAAAGGATTTTTAAATATATTTATTTTTAGATATACATACAAACGGCTATTGAAAGCAGTCTTTCCGCGCTAAAGAGTTCTATTTTATCAAATCTTAATTGAAATTATAATTTGTTGCAATTAAATTATATAGGTGTATTTTATTCGAAATTTTGAATATCTTTCTGGTATTTTCAACACCAAATTGTTTAAAAATTTGTATCTAAACTTATAAAAAAAAAACAAAATTTTATTTTAAAATGTTACTTTTATTTCAGAGTTCTTGACAAATGAGTGTATGAAATTATGGATACAGTTTATTAGCCGTTACTATTATTAGTAGAATTAGTTATATTAGTTAGATTTTACAGTTAAATGTATGTACGTTATTCGTAGTAGTTATTAGAAGATAAAGGAAATATTTAAAAATGTAAAATTTAAGGAAAGTTTAATTTTGAATAAAAAGTAAAACTACTAATTTTGTATTTATTATAATTTAAATAGCCTCTCTCTCAGTCAATTCAGGAAAGTTATAATTTACAAAGTTCCTTGAGCCCTTTGGTATTCCAAAGCCCTGGCGATGAGTTCTGGGACTGGAGCTGCAGTTGGTAAATGTGCAGCTTCTGGCAAGAAACCGTTCTCATCAGCGGTGTATTTGACGGTGTATTCAACAGCGTCTGGTCCGGTGTAGGTGAAGAAACCGTTGGCGCGCATACCCTCACCATCGGTTCCTACATTAGCCAATTTTCCTTGTTCTTCGGCGAGGATTCCGTTTTCGGTTTCGTACCTAAATAGTCAATACAATTTATTAATATATCTTTTTGACATTTGAGTGGTGATTTGTTACTTACAAGTAGTGGTAACCATCTACATCAACATTCTTGATGTCACGGATGATGGCGTAGTTCCGGTTTTCGTATTTACCAGCAGCGGATCCGTGGATACCGTTACCGTGTCCAAAGTTGTTTCCACCGTTAACGAAGTGTCCTCCTTGGTTACCAGATTGTCCTTGGTTTCCTCCGTGTTGTCCTCCGTGTTGTCCACCGTGTTGTCCATTGTATTGACCGTTTCCATTACCATTTCCGTACTTGTCGAATGTATCTTGGTAGTTGTTGTTTTGGTGCTTGTNTGTATTGTCCGGCGTTGGTGTTCTCGAATCTCGAGAATTTGCGGAAAGTTTGGGCATGGCATACAGCCAAAAGGCCAACCAAAGCTACGAATAATGCCTATAAAAAATAGTTTAATTATCTACCTATTTTATGGTAATCCATCTTTTACTCACGGTGGTCTTCATTGTATAACACTTGATTGTGGAGTGATGTGCTGTCCACTACGAAAACCTAGTATTTATACAAAAAAGATATACGCGAGATGGCTCATTAATACATTTAAATGTGCTCAATTATTCAATAGTCCACTCCCAAAGTTGTTGAACTATACTCGAAGAAGATTCTACTAGCGAATAAGATTGCTAAATCAAAGCAGCAAAAAAAATATGTGCATAAAAAAGAATATTATACTAGTTTTATAGTGCTTCTAAAAGGAGACTCATTAAATATTGATCAATATTTTAAAAAAACAAGACTTATTTATTTTTTTAATTTTATATAATTAACTTATTATTAAATAATATTTAATATATTTTTTCATTAATTGTTAAAAAAATTAAATTAATTTATTTATGATATTCATATTATAAGATAACATATCTCTTAGTTGCTTAAGCATTTACTCTTATATAATTTTAAACTCATCTATATAACATGTGATATTTTTTTAGAATATTATAGATTAAATCAGTAACTATTTTTTTTAAGGACTGAAACTTTTTGTGGTAGAAAACTTTTTGTACTCAGCATACTAACTCGTTGATGGCCTTGTTTATAAAAAAACAAATTTGTTAGTGTTGAGTTCAAAATGTGACATTTATATGAAAAGATGATCTAATTAATGGTGTGTAGAACGTTATATATGTGGAATAAATAATTAATTCAATGGGGTATGAAAATATTAAACATGCATATTAAGTCATCAAATTTTTGGAATGTTCTGAATCAAGAAAATACAAAATTCGATTTATAACTATAAATTGGAATAATTGGTATTTAAAAGATATAATTTATTTTTTAATACAAATTTTTCTTCGGGTTGTTTTGGACCAAAGTATAGTAGACACAAAATTAATAGTAATTATTAACATGCAGAATGAAGATTTCAATTACCACGCTTTAAATAAAACAATAATTTTTATTTGTAATCTCTAAAGTGACTTTTAAATGTAATTTATTGAAGATATACATACAAAGTGCTATTTAAAGCAGTCTTTCCGCACTAATGAGTTCTATTTTATCTAATCTGAATTAAAATTATAATTAATTTCAATTAAACTAGTTGTGTGTATTTTATTCGAATTTTTTCATATCTTTTTGGTATATTCCAAATTGGTTAAAAATTTGTATCTAAACTTATAAGTTTAGAAAATTTTATTATTAAATGTTACTTTTACTTCAGTGTACTTGACAAATGAGTATATAAACCCATGGGTACAGTTCATTAGCCATTACTATTATTAGTAGAATTAGTTATATTAGTTAGATTTTACAGTTAAATATATGTACTTTATTCGTAGTACTTATTGAATAAAGGAAATATTTAAATATTTAAAAATGTAAAATTTATGGAAAGTTTAATTTTGAATAAAAAGTAAAACTACTAATTTTGTATTTATTATAATTTAAATAGCCTCTCTCTCAGTCAATTCAGGAAGTTTTAATTTACAAAGTCCTGAGCCCTTTGGTATTCCAAAGCCCTGGCGATGAGTTCTGGGACTGGAGCTGCAGTTGGCAAATGTTG